GTCAATTGAAGCCAGACCACCATGGAAAACCTGAAAACATTGGATGGCTGTTTCGTCTCAATGTGTGACTACTCAGCAGTGCGCATTCACGATCCCGCCTCACGAGATTTAACCCAGGACCTAACAGTGCGAGCGCACAACCTCTAGACCACTGAATTAATTTGCTCTCATTAATATTGAGCATTATTTATGCTTCATAATTGGAAAAAAGTTACTGTCTTTTATTAAACATTTTGTATTATTGTAAACTGTTCTGCAATATTTTCATATTCCACTCTATACATCAGTCAGTCAGACACAACGTAGAACTTTATACGTACGTATAAACATACTCTATACATATAAACACTTAACACTTTGATTTGGCAGAATCATTGTGAAATCTTGTCATAATACTTTTTATCTCTTTTAAACAATATTCAACTTGTTATTATATTTTTGTTTTTATCTAACACTAATAAACGTTTTTTTCTGAAAAATCACCAAAGCTGTTTTCTTGGCATTAATTAAGAAGAGTAAGATTTTTATTTTAGTTATAAATTTTCAATACTATAGTTATTGTGAACCGGTACAAGATAAAGATTAATCATATAATGTCACCTTTATTTTGTTATTGTTGATAATTCATTTTTGGCAAGGATTTTTATTGTCATCAAAAGGAAATTGATTTTTGATTACCATTTAAATTAGTTACTATATTAAATGATATAACTGGTACTTAAGCGTTCACTACTGATTTCTTATCTACTTTCTTTAATCCTAGACTAATATGATACTTGAACTAAAACAGTAGTAGAGAAAAAGGATAAAGTAAAAATAGGAAGTTTGCTTCATATTTAATTTTTATCGAATGAACCTGAATTTCAAGACGTCACAGGGAATAAAATAAATTTAATAACAAGGTAAGTAATTATCGAAAGAAAGTGTGACACATAATCCTCTATTTCTTAAGATGAGCATGAGAAGTTTCTATTAGATGCTGAACGGACGAAACATTCCTTATGTCTTCTGGAATTCTAGGACTTTATTGAGGAATTCTTGGTGTTCTTTTCATATCAACCTAATACAAGACGTTCTGGTTATTAATCTGAGACAGAGAAACGTCACATTTGCGTAGCAAACTGAAGAAAGAAAGAAAGAAAAACAATGTGATAAAGAGATTATTATTTGAAATAATCAATATGGCCTTTCAGTAAATGTATCTCAGGACCATAAATTATAGGAATCTTTAATTTCACTGATTTATATAAGTCGTTCCACTGCATGCACTGTTGGTAATTCATTGATACAGTGACAAAAATGATGACACAAGATAATGTTTTTTTGTTGTGTAATTGCATAGTAATCTAATAATAGGAAAGGCTTTTTGAGTTGAATTCTTTCATTTCGTAGTGAATATACATAAATTGATCTGTTAAGCTAACAAGTGATAAATACAACATTCTCAGAATAATGCACTAACATTACTTATACAGTTTAACAACAGATTTGTGGTTACTTCACAAAAATAAAGTTCATTGATCAACAAAGTTGAACGACAATAAGAGGAAAAAAAGAATCTATCATAATGTGAACTGGTCATGCATCAAATTGAATAGTTCAATAGTAACCTGAAAATCATTGTGTCATTAAAAATGTAAGAATTTGTTATGACTTCATAAAAAATAACACGAAGGCCAATTCGTTATTGATTTTTATGTCCAGCTTTTATCACGTGAATTATCCACCAATCAAAATACAACTTTTCCGATTTTAACATTGTGACAAGATCAATGACGTTTGACCAGTATAAGTAGTGTAGCGTCCTTATAGGTCCCTTGTCTGCCTAGCCCTTCCAATGGAGTCCAGAACACCAATCACAGCTTATGCTATGCGAATCTATGCGAGTCCTTTATTTCAAGCTTACTCAGTTTATATACCAGACAGACAGATCGCATCACACCATAAAACAGAAAATAATATTTGTACAAGATCAAGACAAATGTGGCTGTGAACATGGGATACACTAATCTATAAACTGAACATAATTTGAGAATCGTAAATTTGTAAATCGTACAGTAATAATTCATGGGTCAAAATGAAGTTTATAATAAGATGAATATAGATATACACAATCTAGTTACTCAATAGTTAAACAGTAAGAATATATATAGAACAATTGTCCATTAATAGGTCCTGGAAGTTACCCATACTTATGTCTTCACAAAGGTATAACAGAATTGTTCATTCATTTCATTTTTGACCAACAGGTTTTATTCGAACAAAAAGAATGATTTCACCAGAATGAATAAAACGCTTTATAGAGAGAACAATTGGGCAACACAGAAATATGTTGACATTCAGTCGGAATATTAGTCTTATTCGATTGTTGACTACCTCCAAAGAATTGAGTCAACAACAATAAATGTTGATGACACATAACAACTTTGATGCTCTAATGTAACAAAAGTCTTATTTAATTGACGTGTGCAGACCTCAAAGTCTGTCACTTGGACTATGTAAAATATTCATTTATTTGAATGATGTTTAATACTTTGTTCAAAACTGCAATAACTGTGAACAACTCTAATAAGAGGTAGTACAGAAATCGTCTAAATTGTAAACGTTTATTTACTCGTTCTCTGATTCACTCGTTTCACCCTTGAGCTGTATTGAGCAAATATATCACATAATTCTGATAACCTTCGTTTTCCAGGTCTTGTTATTAGTGTTTTGCAAATTCCCATAAAAAGTAACGCGACAGATCTGTATCAACATTGTTAGTAGAAAAAGCTGTTATTTCATTCCACTCGCATTACCTTTATAAAAACGAATCAGCTTAAAATTAACATTCTATTCATCATATGGTTCGTTTTTATTAATGGTCCAATGGAGTCGAGCAGATAAGTGTGTGATCAACGGACAGACTGATTGAATATTGATATCACTTCTTGACTTCCCAGTCTCTTATTTTCAATTAACTTGATTTCACAATAGCCAGCTTTCAATGTCTCAGTAGGTGATAGTTTGGAATCCCTGATGCATCTGCTTATCACCTCAGGCGATAAGGTTTCGCAACTTTTAAAAAATGATATGTCATCCTTATCTGAAACTCTACTTCAGTACTGTTTAATTCATTGTTTACCATTAGTGATCGGTGCCCCTCAGACATCTACATTGAATACATATATATATTTGAGGCGCATGAATGACCATAGAGTTTTGTTGAAAGGAGGCTATCGTGCCTCCGCCACAAGTGTTGCAAGTTGAAAAAAGCTAAGTGAACTTTATGAATTCATCCATTGGACTTCGTCATCCAACGATCTATCAGGGTTTAAATAAATAAAGTAGCCGACCTCCTCAACTAATTCATTTCATATGATCTATCTAGATGATAATGCATCTCAGTTACGAGGCAACATTTGGCATTTAAAAGTAGGGAGGTTAACTTCAATCAGTTTACATTAATACTTAATGCATTCTGAAAAATGAATATTATTTACGTTTTCGTCAAAAAGGATTTTTGTCATTTGTAAACTCCAAGTCGATAATTCATTCTCTTAATAGAAAAACAGTCTGTGAAGGATTAAATGACAAAAGTGTTATAACATTGTGCAGATCACTAAATACATTCAGTGATAGTTAGAAAAGTGGCAATTTTAAAGACTAATCAGTTAAAGTTACCAATTCAAATAATGGTTGGTGGTAAGCTGTGACTCGATCAGGAGTGTTTAAGTTACTTCCCTTAGAAAGTCTATCATGGTTTTTGTATACACTTTTCAATGATAAACTAGATTTGTGGTGATGATAACCGTAGAATATAACCCTTAAATACCAGGTTTTAATAATATGTGACATTTTTTATAAACTAATTGGTTATTTCCCAAGTTACTGAACACCTATTCATGCTGTACAAATTGTGTCTAAAAGAACAAAAATGGGAGACTTTTTCATTTGTAAATTAGTTTGTACAAAAATTAAACAAATCAGTATGTTGTCGGATGTATACTTCTGCCTTATTATCAGATTTTGAGCTGAACACAGGGGATATGTATGTAATATTCAAATAACGTGTTGTTTACAAGTTGACGTATATTATCGCCTTAAATATTTTTAAATGAACAGGCAAACACATACAGTAAATGGTTAGAAGAGATGGATAGTGGCTAGCAGTGGAATCCAGGACGCGCGTTTCGTCCTATTTGGGACTCGTCAGCTGGATGTACCTGCACCTCAGAGTTGATGTTCACTCTGGGACTCGAACCCAGTACCCTTCTGGAGTCAGAAGGCTGCGTGTTCGGATCACGTCGGGCTCACCAATATGTAGTGTAGTGCTTCGTTAATCGATCGTCTTGATAACCGTTATTATAACAATCTGAACGGTGTATAATATCAGAAGACAAAGGGAAGCAGCAACTACATTTTTATTGATAAATAACATGGGCTAGAAGGCAGTGAGCACATTAGCAAATGTAAGCAAGCGAAGGAAAGATGACGCAGAGTGGAGTTGGCTTCCCAGCCATCTCCACTCTGCGTCATCTTTCCTTCGCTTGCTTACATTTGCTAATGTGCTCACTGCCTTCTAGCCCATGTTATTTATCAATAAAAATGTAGTTGCTGCTTCCCTTTGTCTTCTGATATTATACACCGTTCAGATTGTTATAATAACGGTTATCAAGACGATCGATTAACGAAGCACTACACTACACCCTCGCTTCAAACGCCATCGCGTTATCCACTCGGCAGATACATCCAGCTGACGAGTCCCAAATAGGACGAAACGCGCGTCCTGGATTCCACTGCTAGCCACTATCCATCTCTGCTAACCATGCTTGTGAATTAAGGTATATCGAGGCAATACGCACAGTATGCACATATGCCAATTAGAGACTGACCAGTTGCAGTCCTAACAAATCGATGGGAAGATTCAAACAAACAATACTAAGTTGAACATACAGTAAATGTTTATTTAATAATTTTCTATCCAATAAAACTTGGATTGATTGAATTTTTTTATCAAGATTCTTGGATTTTCAATGGTTGTTTGCTTTTAACATAGACCAATGTCATTCAGTGCGTTGCTACGTCTGTGATTATTGTCCGACAGTAACAAGCGTATCAATATCAGAAGAGAACAACTGTACATCTTGCTTAGTAAGTTAAGCCGTTTAATAAACACATTTCTACTTAAAGCAATTGGTCTCTTTGATAAATTTCGATAATGTAATAAGAAGACGAAGATTATCAGAACTATGTGATCAGATTGTTCTAAATGTATTGCGTTAATATATCACATAGTGCTGATAGTCTTCGTCTTCTTATTACATTATAAAAACATGTTTCTATGTTTAATAAATTATATGAATTTTTGATAAACTAATATTACACGCTGAATGAAATGGCAGTCTGTAGTTATTTTTGATGTGGACTTACTATAATGTATTGTCATCGTAGTTGTTGCTCTTCTTATAGTCGAAACGATGATAAGATAAGCTGCTGTTCCTAACAAACATAAGAAATACATTTATAAAGTAATTGTAACGTACGTTTATTCTTGAGTTGTGTCTGTGAGTTACTTTGATCCGTTCTAATTCATGACCGCTTTTTTTCATAAATTTTCAGACTGCTGGTTATAATTATTCGATTCACAGAATATGCGTGTTTGATAATAGCATACCCATTAACTTCCCAAACGAAAATCGAACACAGTGTAACTCTGATTTGTGTAACGGGTTAACAGTTGATAACACTGCAGGTAAGTGATAAAAAGGAGAATTTCATTATATTCATTATTAAAAGAAACATCAACTATTTTGAAACGAGAAAATATAAAATCTAACTTATTATGCAAAATGTGAACAGATAGAAAAGCTTAAACAGATTTAGTTTTAAATAGTCTATTAATTCACGCCAATCTTAATAATGCAATTAAATGAGGAGGTTTATCGATCGTCACCATTTGGATTATTAACTGCTTTTCTTATCCAAAGACAGCTATAGAATGTTTATTTAATTCCTTTGTAATTGACAGGTCGAATCGCTTGAGATTATTCAAATCTTTTTGAGTCAATGAGGATATTAGAATCCGGAATAAAATAAACAAGTCATAAATACTACTATACAACTCATTTAAAAAGGCATACTTCCTCAATTGTTTGTTGTTTCATACATCATTTACTATAACAGAAATTGTTGATTGTTACAAACATTTAAATGTAAAATAACACTGTTAGCCACTATCCATCTTTGCTTATAAAACTTATGACTTCAGGCAATATCGAGACAGTCCGCACAGGATGCACATTTGCCGACAAGAGACTGATCAATTGCAGTCCTAAATAACAATGGGAAGATTCAAGTAAACAACACTAAGTGAATAATATAAACAGGACGCTTATGAGTTTTCTCTGTAAATACAATATCTGTATTGTGCTTAAAAATGTTTAGCTCCCATTTATTAACACTTGAAATATCTTCCGTTTAATACTTCTCTCTTGAATTATAACACACCAGTACACACTAAAAAGATTTTCGAGTATGAAAATTGGTTGCCGAATACATTATTCACATTCATAGATAAAAGATAAGTGTGATTACACATACGTTTGAAGATCATTAATCTAAATGGACTTCGTATTTAACTTTCCCTGGGATAGTCGTAACGTCTATATGTTAATTGGTCTACAAACATGTGAACTTATTTCTTTATTACCTAAAACGTTATCGAAAAATTTTTGATTATGATTAGTAAATTGAAATTATTGAAGGCAATCACGTTGAATGTCAATCTTACATAGTTCTGTCTTCAGTCAAGAAGTTGTGAAGTACAATTTCTTAGTGTATTATCTCATTAATATATCATTGTTTTAACACCTTTATCTTAAACTTGATTTTAGAACGTCCAAAAGGGCCTATACGTAAGTAATTTGTATGCTTTAATTTTTATATACTATGATGATTATTACAGAATTAAACTTAATTTTATACAGAAATACAATTTAAGAACACTTAAGTTGTAGCGAAATGAACACTGAAAAATTTATGATGCAATATTCGTACACTGTGTTGTGCAACGGGACAACAGTTGATAACTGATGTGTGGACGAGTTTGACAATGATTGATTGTTTTGCTGAGTCAGACATTAGATAGGATGACAGGTGTTATATGTGTTATATATATTCTTCTATCCTTATTATGTATGAACTGTTCCTTGTTGATGGACTGTTATTGATTGACTGTTCCTTGTGTCGGATTTTGGTGTGGAAATATATTGACGTCATAGTCAGGCTAATCTCGTGTTCTTGATCTGAGTTGTTTTGATGTCCTGTAGAATAGACACTGGGTGGGAATCTAGTGTAGATATTCGTCTAAGGTAAATTAATATCCCGCATACGTGTAAAAAGTGAAAGGACTGTTATAACAAGAAACCCTAGAATTATAACAAGTATCCTACAGCTTATAACAATAACACTGCAAGTAAGTGATAAAAAGGAGAATTTCATTATGTTCAATATCAAAAGAAACATCAACTATTTTGAAACAGTTTATACATTTTAATGTGATAGCTGTAAACCATCATGAATGAACATAATTTATATCATCTAACAGAGACATCAAAATATGTATATGTTGGGATAACCCTGCATTACTCTCGCAAGCTACATGACAAGCTCAGGGGTCATCAAGGAGCACTTCAACTAATCAGCGATTAATTGGAAATTATGTGAAGTTATGTTACTAAAATAACGAAAATGGAAAAGTCACATGTGGAGATCCTGATTGGCTGATTTATACGCTGCTACTATGTGTAGCAGTGTTCTAGAACTTTCAGTAAAGCTTAAGGACTCTTAAATTACTATAAAATCCCCATATTTTCTGTACATAAAGGAACCCTGTAGTAAAGTGCTTCCCTCACACTTTGTGCCTTTTTTCTCGTCTTCAAGTCGTGGAGTAGTTCTAGCTCGGGGGTACGGAACTAGCTTAGGGAAGCGAATATAGCGTTCACAATCGGCCAGACGTAACAGTAGATCAACTTAATTATGAATTTCCACTTTGTTTGTTATCAACTAGGGTTATTTAAGTCTTGTCTTTATTAACATGGATATTGGATAGTTAATGTGTATTATTTTAACATAGTATTTTGATTGTGCCAACTCCAGACACGTTTTTATTTCATGACTTCATTCCATTCAAGTGGTGAATGAAAATCGTTCTACAGGATAACTTCTAGTAATTTTATATTTTCATGTTATGCAGTCATTTCAAGTCGAATATAAGTATCCAAAATTATTTATATAAGTTATCCGATCACATGTATATTGACAGTTTTAACTCATTTTCATTATATTGTCATTATATCATGTTGATTTCTCTAATTCAATTCACAGCAAATCCATTCCGTTGCTATACGTGTTTGAATTGTACAAAAAGTAGCGAAAGGGTTGTTGACGGTTGTGGTGCATGTGTGGTAACTTCAAATAACCAGTGTAATATATTTCATAATGACTTGGGTAAGAATAGAATTTGATAAATAACTTTTGCTTTAAGTTATTGAAAGATACTTCATTCAACAAATGTAAATTCAACAATTAGACATTAGAATGTATCTAGTGATTCGTTTCAATGGAATTTTATAAGCAAAATAAAAAAAATATTTTACAATTGCTATACTTTACATTGATTAAGAACATTTTACTGTCCTTAAATAAATCTGTCACTAATTTATGGTCATCGAATAAATTATTACAAATTGTTTACTTCACTGGTATTGATGAATTAAAATTCACTCCAATGCACAAGCCAATTGCCATCTGTACTCAGTAGCTAAGTGTATAATTCGGTGACATTTGAAGTGAGTGGTTCTAGGTGCGAGTCCCGAAGTGAACATCAACTATGAAGCACAGGTATATCCAGCTGACAAGTCCTAAATAGAGAAAAACGCATACTCTATATTCCATTACTAGCCATTATCCATCTCTGTTTAAAATAATTTGCTAGTTACAGATTTCAAGTGTTATATCTGGTGTTTCTCCCACTTAAATTAAACTTATCGTCAACTTTATTTTGACTGAATATTTAATTTTGATTTACATTTTCAGACAACTTATGGTTCTGGAATTATCAGTAAATTTTGTATGTCTACAAGTAAACGATGGAGTCCTGACTATCCAACGACTTGTTGCTCAACAGATCTATGTAACGGAATGACAAAATTATCTATTCATCGTCATGTTATTATTGTTCTGTTTGTTTGCATAGCAATCAGTAAATACATTCTATGAATAACCTAGCTCATAATCTTCTGTGATTTATATAATTGCTTTAAATTTACATACATTTTGGTCATTTTAATTGAAGTGTATTCATTATTAAACACTCTACCTTCTTCCATACACATTCACATATTAAATTTATTGCTTTTTTGATATAGTTCACTATGTACTACATTTATCGTTCTATTTGTAATAAATTTATAGTTTGAACGTAAGTCAACTTTTCTTAATTCACGACAGCTCACTAAGGTTAATAACAAGAAAACTTATTTGTAATTACAAAGTTGGTAAAAACATAACATGGAACATAGGATTTAGTTATTTTCCTCAGTCAAAAGTATTTAGAAGCTCTAAGAAAGGTTTATCGAAATCGTTCGTTGAAGAACGACCATGTTCACGATACATTTGTTGCGTGTAATGATTATGAACATGCATCTCGTAAGTTGGAACTTCTCAATACAACACACCAAAATATTAGGTTAACAAAGGGACATAAACGTGACATGTTTTACATAACAGACTTTGATACTGGGAACAATACAAAGGCGCAACTTCAAGGATATATTTATCGATGTTATAAACTGAAGGATGCTTGTTATAATTCTAGGGTTTCTTGTTATAACAGTCCTTTCACTTTTTACACGTATGCGGGATATTAATTTACCTTAGACGAATATCTACACTAGATTCCCACCCAGTGTCTATTCTACAGGACATCAAAACAACTCAGATCAAGAACACGAGATTAGCCTGACTATGACGTCAATATATTTCCACACCAAAATCCGACACAAGGAACAGTCAATCAATAACAGTCCATCAACAAGGAACAGTTCATACATAATAAGGATAGAAGAATATATATAACACATATAACACCTGTCATCCTATCTAATGTCTGACTCAGCAAAACAATCAATCATTGTCAAACTCGTCCACACATCAATCGAAAAGAAATGGAGCTGATTGCGACTACATTTCAATAGCTTCTTTACAGAGCGCTACGATGAACTTTGATCAGAAATTAGTTCAACCAGGTAGAAAGTTTGTGTTCAGAAGATAGCATCGAGAAGTAATTGACCGTAGTTGAACGTGGTTTGTGCGATATTATTAATCCTTAAAAATGTGAAACTAAGTATGGGAAGAGTAAAACAGAAAATTTATTTTTCTGAAAATCCTGTGCATCTGTGCCTTGACTACAAAAGTAATGAAATGATTTCAGATTAAAATTCGTCTTAGAAAGATTATGTTCATTAACCAGGTTGGTCTCTCTTTACTACATAAATCACGAATTAAAATAGTCAAAAGTAAACGAATTCTCATATGTTATTACTTCATTCTGTGGAGAAGGCTCCCGTTGAACTCAAGGAGGCTCTAAGCAGCTGTGACAGAGCGAAAGATATCCCATCCGATCATAATTCGTGAGGACACTCCAGAATATCTACTTGTAGCTTCCTGATTGTACAAATGCTCATGATTTCAACTATGAAAATCAAATCATCAAAGAAATATATAATGTTTTTAACATTCATATCAAAATGTAAACTACGTCAAACCAATCATATTTGGATGTTGAATTCCTTTTTTCTTTGATGATTTTAAATTTGATTGTTTCCCTGAAGAAGTCCAGACAAGTTAGCTGGACGAAACGTTGGAATTATTTAAATTTCAATCTCTGAGACTATTTCAAATATAATTTTTCACATAATGACTTCTCTATACATGACTCCCAATTTTTGTCAAGCTATTCTTTTTAACCTTGACGAATATTCGTATAAATTATCTTACCTATAGCTTCTATAACATAAAGCTAAAAAAGTGATATTTAAAGTGATTAACAAATTCTAGTCTCATGAGTGTCTTTATTGAAGCTATCTAATCTTTGTATTCTAAATGACTTTCTGATCAATACAATACAACACACATTTAACAAGTTTATCCTTTGATTTCGTTAATATAAAAACCTGGTTCCAATATTTTTTTCCACAAACAGAAAATGTAACCAACATCATTTTTTGTATACATTAATTAACTAGTTATACATTCACAGAATGATTGATTGTATTTTTGTAATTGAATTGTGTTAGTTGTACTTGATTTGCTTTTGTACTTATTACAATGAAAATATTGTTCCGTTGTACTACTTAAACTTAGATTAATGTTAATTTGGTAAATTTATTCTCTGAAGAAGTGGCTTACACTTGTTATGACTTTATAGAAAATATAAGACAGATGCTAATTTGTTATTGATTTCTATGTCCAGCTTTTATAACGTGAATTATCCACCAATCAAAATACAACTTTTCCGATTTTAACACTGTGACAAATCAATGACGTTCGACCAGTATAAGTAGTGTAGCGTCCTTATTGATCCCTTGTCCGCCTAGCCCTTTCAATGGAGTCCAGAACACCAATCACAGCTTATGCTATGCGAATCTATGCGGGTCCTTTATTTCAAGCTTACTCAGTTTATATACCAGACAGACAGACCGCATCACACCATAAAACAGAAATTAATATTTGTACAAGATCAAGACAAATGTGGCTGTGAACGTGGGATACAATAATCAACAAACTGAATATAATTTAGGGACAGTAAAAAGTATAATAATAATTCATGGGTCAAAATGAAGTTTATAATAAGATGAATATAGATATACACAATTTAGTTACTCAATAGTTATACAATAAGAATATGTATAGAATAATAGTCCATTAATAGATCCAGGAAGTTACCCATACTTATGTCTTCACTAGGATATAAGAACACTAAGTGACGAAACGTGATAAAATCTAATTCTTTTTCTCACTGGGATATTACAAATATATTAATTTATTTATTGGTAATGATTGTTTCATATAACGAATGACTGTTCGTAAAGATTCCATAATGATGGTAATGAAAAATACCATATTGTACAATATCAGTTTGAAAGAAATAACAGTTATTGTTTTCCGTAGTATATTCCATCATGAAAAATGACACCAAACTATTTGGTGTTTAAGTATACCATTTCATTGAAACAAATATTTTAAAACAATACTGTACATGTTGATGATAAGTAACATTTATTGAATAGTAATATTTCCTTTAAGTAGTATATAGTTAGAGAAAACAGATTAAATAAATTTATTTGTCAAGTTAATGAACAATAAATATATATTTATACACTTGAATTACTTGTACAGTTTAACAACAGATTTGTGGTTACTTCACAAAAATAAGGTTGGCTGATCAACAACGTTGAGGGAAGATAAGTGGGAAAAAAAGAATCTATCATAATGTGAACTGGTCATGCATCAAATTGAATAGTTCAGTAGTAATCTGAAGATCATTGTGTCATTAAAAATGTAGGTGGAATTGTTCATTCATTTCATGTTTGACTAACAGATTTCATTTGAATAAAAAGAATGATTATACCAAAATGAATAAAACGCTTTATAGAGAAAACAATTGGGCAACACAGAAATATGTTTACTGTATCCACTGTACTCCATCAATTGTTTATTTTCACAAATTTTGATTATGAATATGTATTGAATTCATCGAATACATATTAATAAATTAACATTATATGATATGAATGAATTGTAATCTTTGACGAAAATCAAATTATTTACTGCATTATTGTAGGCTCTTTCTGAACAATGAGTTCATTTGTAAGTTGATTGGTTCCGAGAAATCAAACTACTAGAAAGGAACCAGGAGGTATATTGTAACACTGATACTCGAATACCATTAGTATGTACACTTTTAAGTTATTCGATGTCAGTAGACCACAAACTGCATTATCCATTTGTTTTAATGAACCACAATCCCACTGTCGTATCTGTGAAAGATTCTGTAAGGAATAATAAAGAAAATATATGGATTATTGATATTTATTCACATGTATTATGAAGTTAAATGATGATTATGATACAATAATTTCTTCTCTTCAGTTATATGCAATAAACCAATTCTTAATTCACAAAACAATCATGCATATACATCACTGCTCCTTGGTACTTTATTACTGCTCATAACATTTTCTAAATTTCCTTTTATATCTAGTCGAGTGAGATAAATTATAACAATATAGTCTAATACTTGGTTCATTCAACAGTACTTCTATAGTTCCAGTTAAGTCCCATGGAAGTGTGATTGATAGACAGATTCTAATAGCTGACTTCCGATATTCTAGTTATTAATTGGGTAATTCATGTGCGTAGATTATGAAGGTGCATGTCTATGGATGGATCGTAACAAGACTAGAAATGCATTTATTATACATATATATATATATATATATATATATATACGTTACTTTCGAACATTTGTGCATTCTAATTTTCTTGAATAATGAATGGAGTTTTGAAGTATGTTGCAATCTTGATATATTTCTTATTCAATATACTCAATAGACGTAAGTAATTCGATTCTTATTTTGTAGCACACATTTGATTTGTCTTTAAGTGAACAATGTTTAAAATTACGATTCGTACAATTCGAAGAGGAAATTATGGTAGATAATGATTCTGAAGTATTGTTTTGAGAACTTCCAACTCCCAAATACTCTCTGTTCGTAATCAATTTCGTTCAGCTAAAAGTGTAATCTACAGCCTAAATATATATATCTAAGAAAATCATAACCATAAACTGTCGTCGTAATCTTGCATATATAAAACACTGTTGGCAATGAATTGTACATGGACTCATGTACCACAAAATACATTCACTTTTTAGAAACATGACGCATAAAAATGAGATCTCATAGGGCATTTCTTCTTAATTCGTTACAAATTACTTACGTAGTTTTAGTAAATTTATACTTTAAATGAAAAGTAGTTTACTGTCATTAGTTAGACAAATGTGTATAGTTCTTGTTTTTCATGTAGCAGTGTCATATAAACTGGAAATTTAACTAGAATGTTGAAAGTTTTCCAGAATCGCTTGGATATATTGTTCATAACTAATAACGTATATAATGATAAACAAACTCATTCTCATAGTCAAACTACTTTCACTAATGGCTCAAATTTCTTTTGACAAAATAGTTGAATAATTTCTTTGTCATATGAAAGATTTATGCAATCAACGACTCTACCGTCTGTAAAACATCTGCTTGAATATAAATGCTAATACGTTTATCACGGATAATAATTAACAGTATTCGCTTAATATGAAAATGAGCATTAAACATTCAAAGTCTAGTTAAAACGTACAGTAGTCACCCAGCCACAGATAGAAAATTATTTATACTTATAAATCTATGAAATCTAACTAAAGTTCATATTGCTTCCGAACAATTTTTAATGAACACATTATCATTTTATCAGTTCATAAATGATCTACAACAATAGGGTTCCTACAATCTTCAATATGAATGTTCAATTGTCATGGAATATAGACAAATGTTTTCACCACCCACTTATTCATTATAGTGCTCGATCGCATTAGTTTGATTTTCATCAAACAACAACACATCAGATATTCATACCATCATGAGATTTTCCTCTCAAATGATAAAACGAATCATGAACCTTATACATTGAATGTACTCGCATACTAATCAACTGTGATTAATTTCCCTTGAAAGTTTTTTCTTGAATCAATGAATTCTTTCATCTTTCATCCAACAGCTTATTTACTTTGATTGGTTGACATCAAAATACATTGTTTTTCTCTTACGAAATTCATGAAGGACCAAAACAAATCTGAGTATTAAATATATTTTAGAAATTGATGAATTGTGGATTGATTGATTGTGTTGAGGAGAAATATTTAATGATACTTTAATGGTGGTTTTTATCCTGTCTGATTCCAGTTATGTTTAAGAAAATCATATTACCTATTCAATTGATGAGTAATTCGTTGATTTTAAAATAAATTTATTCTAGATACCACATGATCCTACTAACTTTGTTTTTTACAGATCAAATTCAATCAATTAAATGTCATGTGTGTGATTACTGCCCCATAGTAACGAATAAGTCAATATCAAATGAAAACTGTACTTCGTGTGCAGTGAGTTAAATTTCGAAATAAAAATACCTAAATAACAATATATTTGCATATTTATTTGAATGACTTACCATTTGAATTATTAATTTAATACTCGCGATAAGCAAGTTGAACACGAAATGGAGTTTTATATTTAGAGCCGTTTTACGTTTATATTGTACAGGGTTATAAATTAACTAAAACAATTTCAATAACCGTATTTCTAAAGTCACTTACAAGTTTACGAAATATTCTCATTCTTAGGTTATACAAATTAGCGACATGTTTCTAGTATTGAGATGTTAGTGATAATCCTCTTATGTATGAGATTGATAAGTTCTTGTATGAATTTAAGAAGGAATCTGTATGTCATCTTAGATGAGAAACCATACTTTGTTTGATGATTTTTAATATTCATGGTTTCCAAGATACTAGAATTATATGCCGCATACATGGTATTATTCATATTCGGTATTTCTTCGCATTCCTTATTGGAGGAATAGTTTCACTGAAATTCAGATTTACATATAGATCGCACTCAAACGTTTGAAAGCGTTAGAATACCATACTGAATCAGCAAATATTTATTAATTGTATTTAGATCATAGTTTAGTTGAATAAAAAACGATCTACAGCCTTTGCTCACTTCTTAAGAGTATAGTATAGTCAAAGCTGCTTTCGTTTCTCCGATTATATTCTGATGAATCTTGAATACATTGTCGTTGCTCATCAACTTACATATTAAATGACGAAATTGAAATACTATACGGTACTGTGAGTGAAAAATGTATAAAGGCTAACGTATTTATTTTAGTTAAATTCACCCTATTAAGTTATCTGTAGGATATTTTACATCACTTTAATAATTATATCTTTGTAATTAAATCATAGGTTGCCGGTGCAAATTATTCAGTACACAGAATATGTTTGCGTAATAATACAATTCCAACAAACTTTCCAACTGAGAATCGGGATGTGTGCTATTTGGATCTGTGTAATAATGGAGTAATTGGAGGAAAACGAAGTAAGTAGATAAAAGCTGTCAACATGAACTTCATCTTAGTGAAATGATTCGTTTCTATTGATCCGATATTTGTTATCCCTAGCAAATTATTTACTGCTTGTAAGTATCCACTAAATGACGATTTTATTCTGTTCACCATTTGTTTGAGTGACTGATTATTGAACAGATAAACTGTTAAATTGTATGGATTTATATTTAAGTATTCAAAATCTATGCAAATGAACTAATTCAATTACTTACTTACTTACTTACTTAGCTGATATCGAAGTGAAAAAGCATGATAAACCACAGAAAAACTACCATAGACTACGAATACAGAAATCATAACAAAATTAGTACATTTCGGAAAAAAATAAACAAGTGGTGAAACTTCATATGTACACACAAAAGGATTTGATATTTATCATACTGTGCGTATTGCCTCGATATAGCCTTAATTCACAAGCATTGTAAGCAACGGTGGATAGTGGCTAGCAGTGAAATCCAGAACGCACGTTTCGATCTATTTGGGACTTGTCAGCTGGATGTACCTGCATCTCAGAGTACTGAGTTCGAGTCCCAGAGTGAACATCAACTCTGAGATACAGGTACATTTAGCTGACGAGTCCCAAATAGGATGAAACGCGCGTCCTGGATTCCACTGCTAGCCACTATTCATCTTTACTTAAAATATTGGCTGTTAATAAGTAGCGATTTTTTTTATTTGTATAGTTCAAAATATTTTTATTATATGTTTACTTTGAAACATATCATTGATTATTTCTGAATATATTTTCTACTTGATGTTTGCGTTGGTGATGTCGTTCAGAATAACGATGAAAGCTCCACGACAAAATTATCCAGCTCAAAGAATAAAACTCCATCAAAATCATGTTTTTATATTCTCAGTTTTTTTGTTATCGATGCTAACTGTATTGTATTTGTTTGAAAGATTCTAAAATGATGACATTTCTTTTAATTGATTTTACAGACGATTCAATCAGTTGTTATACTAGTCTTGATTGTGAAAATATTACTATTTACATAATTATAGAGGGTGTTGGAAGATGTATGGTAAGTTTAAGTAATGATTTGCAACTCAATTCATTTCGAGTTAATTATGTAAATTTTAAATCAAATTTCTTGAAAATTATCAACTGCTATATTATTGATGGATATCAGTAGTATATTTTTTGTTAAATATCAGAAATAAAGTAAACCAAATCCGATCATTTCAGTGTTTGTATTGGTTGTTTGAGTTTTCCTATTGATGTTTAAGACTGAAATTGATCAGTCTCGTATTGACATATATGCATCCTGTGAGGATTGCCTCAATATCGCTTGAAGTCACAGGCATTATAAGCATTATAAACTAGTCACTATCCATCTCTGCTTATAAATCTAATCATGTCTATTTCTTGTATGTTTATCGGTTATAAATTTACAATGTTCTAACTAAATAAGTAGAAATTGTAATGTGTAAATGTGAGTATATTTATAATTGTAAAGAACAGTTAAAGCAATGTCAATCAAATACTGATCTTTTTTCTTTCTGCAACTGTTTTCAAAAATATAAAGTGCTTCCAGGTTTTCCATGGTGGTCTAGCTTCAAATGACTCATGATCTCAACTATTGAAAATACAAATATTTATTTATATTGCCATGGGATTGCAAACTGACAAATAGAAAAATGTATTTTTTGGTCCTAGATTTGACTCCAATTATATTGTATGTTGTCTGTCATCGAAATATTCATATCGTCAATTCTCGTATATAATCACCGAATTAATCCACTTTAATGTATAACGGAATTAAAGAAGTCGAATATCAGAATGCACTTTTGAATATATATATTTTGTGCAATCACTGATCTGGACAGACAGTCAGAGGAACGAAGCGAAAAGAAAAGAGCGAAGCTAAATGATGCTCAGTGGAAAAGGCGTGTGAGCCAACTCCATTTCATGAAACACTAATTAATATTTATAGCCAGATAAAAATAATTTAGAGATATGTGATGAGTAGGATAAGACGTGTACACACATACACTCATATGAAAACAGTCAAGTTTCTTAAAAGGGTATAATTAACAAAGACAAAACGTGACTCAACAGGAATGGATGAATTGGCCTGTCCAGAAACTAGGATAAGGTACATGGACTTTACATAGCAACCGACACTACATGTACATTTTAGATATTTTGCACGAGTTACTAGTAGGTTTTTTTTAACAAAGTAATTTATTTATAATGAAATCAGTAATTATTTTAAAATTAATGATAAGAATGAAAAACAGAGGACACATAATTCGTTGTCTATTCTATCAAGTAAATTGAGTCAATCAAATTATTCTATATTTCATTAAATTATTCCTATCGAATAAATTAATTGGTACCTTTCAAATGATATGTCCAACGTTTCATATACCTATGTAAAATTTTAATTTATTTGAACACACGAACATTGGTCCAAGAGTTGCACCAGATATATATGCGCCATTGAATATTTGATTTTAATTTACATTTTCAGACAACTCATAGTTCTGGAATTACTAGCAAATTTTGTGGATCTGCCTATAATCAATTGGATCATGAGTATACAATCGATCGTTGCTCAACAAATAGATGTAACAGAATGACAAAATTATCTATTCATCGTCATGTTACCATTGTTTTGTTTGTTTGCATAGCAATCAGTAAATACATTCTATGAATGACCTAGCTCATAATCTTCTGTGATTTATATAATTGCTTTAAATTTACATACATTTTGGTCATTTTAATTGAAGTGTATTCATTATTAAACACTCTACCTTCTTCCATACACATTCACATATTAAATTTATTGCTTTTTTGAAATAGTTCACTATGTACTACTTCATTTAACCGTATTTTGTTCTTTAACAATAAATTTGTAGTTTTTTCTTCAACGAGAGTAATAAACTTCAAGAAAATTAATTCGGATAAGAATATGTATGCTAACATTTTCTAAAATGCGGTCACGGTTTTGTGGTTTACTGTTGGTTCACGACCTTTTCGAGCCCAAGAATGATCAGACTATTCTAATGCGAACAGTTCTATAGCAGTCACGATAACAATAACTGAGACTCTACGCTTCAACAGTTAACACATGAAGAGGACGCAACGTCTGAAATACTGACACTAAAAGCGGAATTATTTGACATGGAACACCTCAATATATATATGGTAACGAAAACACGACCTTCAAGCGTACAAAAAATTATAGAACAGGAAAGGTCAGAAATCATGCAGGAAATTAGATTTCCTATAAAACTGTATCTAGTAAAACTTGGGTATTCTCAATAAGAAATGAATAGCTCTATGATTGTTTTAACAATATACTAATGACTTATAGCGCGTCTGTCAAAGTAAATAGTTTATTTCTCTAACAATAGTACTATCTATGGTTATTCATTATATTTACTCGCTCGTATCTGTCTTGAGATGTCATTGTTATGCAGATCACTAGTTTGAAATACTAGAATACCAGTCTCATTTAATTAAACCATTTAACTGCAAGCATCCAGAAAACATTCTTTAGTAAATTTTATCAATTCGCCTTCGTTTAAATGTATTATCAAAATACAATCTGCCAATAATCTTAATGTCATAAGCCTGTAAGTACTTAATAATGTACTGTAACGTTGACAGTTAGATTTGAAGATATTCAGTAATCTCAACATCTAAAAAATAATTTGTAAAGTGTGGTGGTCGATATTCGATATTATCCTTAAACTTCGTGTATCGTTCGTCCTGATAACCGTTACTCGATAACGCCCCAACAGTGTGTAAATCAGAAGGCGAATACTAAGTGTTGATTGCAATTATTATTGGACCACACACATATATCCAAAATTACAGGCACGTTAAGCAAGCATGAAAGATTAGTGCCATAAAGCAGGCGAGTGAGCGCGCGAGTCGAATTACCGAGCGAGAGATCGATTGATAGGGTGATCGAGTAAGCGAGTACAGTGAGTAGGCGATTCAACGCATCAATCAACAGGATTAAGATGAACATATATATACAAGTGGAAATGCATGAATCATCAAATCAATTAAGCAAATAATAATAAGGCTAGCAGAATGAATACAAGCGTAGGCAGTAAACAATGCTCAAGCGCACATAGTAAAGGTACAATAGAATAGATAGGTGGTTATTGTATGAATGACTGTCCGTTAAATAAGTTAACAAAAGGCTTAACCAAATTACATGTAAACAAACTCAATTGCATGTGAGCTGCTTTAAAGAGTAAATTGTTCAAATTATTAATTTATTTAATTTCCAACATGACGTTTCATGGCAAATTCATTCAGTTTAAAAATAGTATTCTCAAACAATAGGAAGTGAATACTGTAAAAAGGTTCAGTGTATGGTTCCCTATATTTTACCAAGATGCTCTGTAATTTTGTATTGAAATGCATCGATTGTTCCCAAATGTGTTCTCGTTCACAAGGAAAGTAGTAACAATGTCTTCATTTAAGTTTAGTTTCCAAAATTATCGAATGTGGATATCCTTTATTTCAGTCGACATATAACATTCAGTTGGTCAACGTATAATTAAATTTGGTGTAAATGTAATGAAGAGCTTAAAAAAAAACATTTGCATCTACGGAAAATGAAACTTTTAAACTTATCCGTCCCTAAAACTCTGTTTCCCAACATTATTTGTCTTGAATATCTTTATGCTGTTGCACAAACTTTCCTTTACTTTTCTACTGAATAAAACATCTGATTTGCACACAAACGTGTCAATGCACCTTTCCGCTTGAATTAGTTTTACCTAAATTGCGTTGCTTTCAACCGATATTTCATAATCAACACAATAGGAAAGAAATAATTTTTAATATCTGTGAGACAGAGAGATCATGTTTCAGTCGAGAATATGCTCATTTTACTGAGATAAAATTCATTGTAGATAGGTGCCTGAGATATTGAAAAAAAGAACTATTTAGATGAAACTAAGTGCACATTTACAAATTAATATAGAGACTTTGACTAAAAAATATATTCGATTCAATTTGTAAAGCACAAATATGGTTATCGTCTCTGTTTCATATAATATAGACATCACATAAATAATAACACCATCTTCATTTTTGTATTTTACTTGATGAACTCACTAACATTAAATTAATTTCTCTATTGAAAGAAGTCTAAACTTTAAAAGCCGTAGAGTACCTGTGCTTCGCTTTGGGCTAACTGACAATTTATCAGCATAGAATGTTACAGGTACTCCACACGGTCACTTCCATCACTCATAACAATTAGAGTAGCAAAAACCAAATCGTGTTTTACAACGTACACTTAGAATAGTTTTACAATTAATTGACTAGTTAATCAAGTGACAAATGATCGAATAAAATTTGTACTAAATCATACATCCTGGTGATTGCTAGTATTTGCCTATTAATCAACTACCTCTGTCAAAAAGAATGAAGGATAAATATATGATTCATCATGAAGCACACATACATTGCATCCACATTTGATATTACACATTCATCATGTTGTGTGAAAAGTAAGTATAGTTGAGTAGTACACTCCTCATCTATTTTACATTACGTAGAGTTGTTGTAAAGTAACATATAATTAGTTAAATTGGTGAACAATAAAGTAAATCATGTTCGTTCGTGTCCAATCAAATCAAAACCTTGTGAACGTGATGAGTAACTTTTGGAAAAAATTTTGTGTTTTGCTTGATAGATTCCCGAACAGATTGAAGTTGAAAGTTTAGTTACTATAATAATAGTTTAAATTTACTATTGCTTAGACAAATAACTAAAATCGATTTAAGTTAAATTTGTTTTATAAGCTAATTAATGTTGAGAATCTTTAAATGACTGCCCTTTTATTTTATTTCGATGCTTAAGATGATAGCTTTACTAAGAAACAATTTCCATTCTATAATTTGATATATAATAGTCTTCCATAGTAGGTATTTCATTGAACTTTTGAATATTGGGGAACGTTGAAATGAGGGATAAAGGTTTTGTTCTATTAAGAATCTGTCAGCTAAGGGAATCTTCATGTCAGTAATAGAATTTATATCATAACTTGTATCTAGTATTTTTTGTTTTGTGGTTTATTTGAACAAAAATCAACTTCGAAAACCTTTAGAATATATATCATCCTAATCGTGTTGGGTAGTCGGAGACAGTGAACAAAAAATCCTGGACATAGGTTCCTTACCAATCAGCATTTGTTAGCTAAGTGTTCCTGCTTTACCCAGCCTGACAGATACAGACGTTGCCGATGAATTGTTTTTAATGTGTTTGACTTCCAGTCAGAGTAAAATATATTTACAATTGATTTATTACTGGGTAGCGATTAGTGTCATGTATTTCAAGCTATTCTTTTATTAGTGATAAAATTTTATCGATCAAGTTCGAATGTGTCCAGCAGCCTAGTTATTCAATATCGTATGTATTCTGTTGAGACGCTAGGTATCTGCGACTCAAATAAAAATAAAAGGACTAGCCAAAAATAATATTGGACACCACTCAATCAATCGTAAATTATCTGAATCGTGTTAACAACAGTCTACACAAAAAATACAAGTCAGAAACGTGAGGGTAGATGAAAGTTTGAAGCTTGTTTCAAAGATGTGGCTGGGTTATAGATACTCACTGACAAGGAGTCCCATTCTCGAACAAAACAGCTGTCCAATGCTTTATTTATAACATCAACTATAAAGGAATTTTTTTTCTAAACATGATAATGAAATAATTTGAAAAATGACCAAAAAAGTGTATTTTTATTTATTTAGGGAATCAAATCAGTTTTGATTGTCGACTTTTTAAAGTTTAAACAAAAACATTTCATTGAAACTAGATTATGTTAGTGAAATTGATTTCTATGTAACTAAGGTAAACCAATTAATTTCATAGGAATGTAGGTGGAATAGTAAATGTTTGCTTAGTGAAGAGAAAAATATTTTATTGTTCATTTAGTGAATATGTTTGGCATTCAATTTTAATTATAATTTGATAAATTATACTGATAACATATAATGGATGATGCAATTCAACACTAATGCTCTTTATATTCAATATTAAACGAAATTGAATTTATCCGAGTAATACTTTTATTGTAAACAATGTGTGTACTATTCAAGTTACCGGTTGTCCATGTTTGTTAGTTAAATGTTTTACATTTCAGAGAGATATTCGATTGGTGGTTTTCCATGACATCTGTTATGAAGAAAGTAATGTTCTCAAAATTACGATTCTTCCATGATACAATCGAAGAAATTGTAACTCAGAGGTTAAGAAAGGCGGTGCAAAAAGCATTTACTGATGCCGAACTGAATGGGGTTTTCTACAACCGCCCGATAATAAAACTATCAATAAAGACAGATTTCCTGAATTAGCTACATCCCTGTGTATTTAACAATTCAACCGCTCTCGTGGAGCCAATTATATAGGGCGTACAATTCGGCAAGTCCATCATTACATAGCAGAACACCATCCGTCTTGGTTGAGGGAGGGACAGGTAAGTGTGATTCAGGGTTCAGTTCTCTGTAATTTGAAGGACGTAGGTTATCTAGTTGACTTAAATGAAGCGTTTAAAGTTATCCATCACATTTCATCGAATTTACCACATAGTTTACGAGTTCTTCTTTTGCACATTGCTGAAGCTATTGGGATCCATGTTCACAAACCTAGCCTTTGAATCTGAAAGTGGTTTCTTCAACCACTCTCGCTACCTTGTCAATCCGTAAATAACTGAATTTTTAGCGAAACTTTGAATAAATCTTTCTCATCAAAAATATTTAAATAATTTTCTAATTTCTTCCACTTTTGTATTTTTTTTTTACATATTTTCAACATTCATGTTTTAATTCTAACATAACTACTATAATACTGACCTATGACCAAAACATTTCGTTATATATATATAATATTGATAGATAGATAGATAAAGATATAGTTATAGATATATTAGTGTAGAGTCATGTAGAGTCAGTCAAGAGGTGAAGGGCTCGATTCTTTGAAAAGGTTTCAATATCATTCTACTGGACATCACCAAAGCCTACTTCAAGTAAAAGTAAGGTCTTCTGTTATTTCACAAAAGTTAATTATCCCATTCTGATGACTTTGTATGTGACTAGATTCTGAAGCAGATTTTATAATTGTTATTCGCCTTTGAACTCCTGCTAAGTGTTTTGTTCAATCGAAATTCGATAGAAACTTTGAATAATCTTTTCTATATTGACTGATAAAATGAGTTTGTATTCATGTGTCTACCGACTGAAGATTAACCCCAATAGCATGCTATTAAAAATTCTTTGGAATTATCAAAACGTTTTTGATCCTGAATTTCGACATTATCTGAA